TGCTAATGATCTGCCACAAGCCTGCCTGTGACAAGAGCAGGGAAGCCCTGCTGTAGGGGGCTGGAAGGGAGGTGGGGCTGGTGGGGATGGGGGGGGGCGGCGCAGCTGGAGAGGCAGCCCTTGGTGTCACTGCAGCCACCAGCCTCCTCCTTCTTCTGTGGAGAAAGGATACGCCACACTTTCTTCTGCTCTGTAGTGGACACTGTGAACCTAGATCCCAGGGCACTTGCCATCTTTTAGTCCACTGTGGCTTCCCCTGCTGGCTATTGCAGCTCTGCCTGGGAGCTCCTCCTGCTCACCCTCTGGGTGTGCTGTGCTGGACAACAGCACCCCATGGTGAGCCCCCAGAGCCCTTTCCATGGGCTTTTCCCCTCCCCTGCCTCACTTCTTCACTCCTCTCCCAGGGCTTCCTGGGCTTTCCACCCAAACACCCTACAGAGCCCACTTGAACTGCACTCTGGTCCCTTGCCAGCTTCCAAGGCACCCAGCCTGAGATGCTGGGTCCTGGGAGCTAGGGAGCGGTGGCTGCAATGGCCCAGGTGCTGTCAGGTCAGGTCTGAGAAGCATGTACCCAGGGCCTGGATGTTCTGCCTCCTGTGGCCTCTGCAGGTCCTTGTCTGGCATCTCTTCTCCCCATTCCCCACTGGTTGCAGGGTGTTAGGTGCTCCTACAGGTGCTGGTAGCTGAGAGCTCCTGTAGAACGAGCTTGTATTAGGGCTACAGACTCTTTCTGAGGTCCTACTGTGTACAGGGTGCTGTGCTAGGTGGTGGCAGGGGGAGGGTGGTTTACAGAAGTCACTGGACATAGCTTTTGTCCCCCCAGTTCCTACAGTCTAGACATAGAGATGCTGGGTGCAACATGATCTTATCAGGAAAACCAGATAGGGAGATAGGGGGGTGGGGTGGGGTGATGGGACCCAGCCCTGCCCTATGGCTTCTGAGAAGGCCTGGTAGCCTGGTAGTAACAGGGTATCATTCAGGGTTCTTAGGAGGGAGCCAGGACAATGCCAGTGGGGAGAGCCTGGTGGACATTGGCTGTGGGGCTCCTGTGCACTGTGGGCTACACGGCTTCCCCGCTCCCTGGGGAGTGAAGGATCCATAGGGAGGGGTGAGGCAGGTGCTAATGTCTGGCTCCTGGATATAAGAATGTTTCAGGGGAAACCCTTTCCCTCAGGCAGAAGTGTGGGCCCCTGGAGGGGTCTGGGGAGCATCCATAGGGGCACCTTAGCCTGCCCAAGATCCCTTTGTGGTCACCTCCCTTGTTTTGCCCAGGAGCAGCTAAGCCGGGAAATGATGTTTCCCTCCCCGGTGGCTCCAGTCCTTATTACTGTAAACCCTGGGATTAATTTAATTACACGCTTGTCTGCAAGAGGCTGGGGCTCTCAGGCGCTCAGCCGGATCACGAGTTGCAAGGCTGCTGGGAAGGACGGTCCTCCCAGGGTGCCAGGCCCCTCCTGGGGTCTTCTGTTTTCCAGCCTCCCTTCCCCCCTGAGGGTCTACCTCTCTGTAGGGAGCTTACTCCTGACCAGGGGTAATAGGATGCCTGGCACTTGGTCCCTGGCCACATGGAGAGCCTGGTTAGGGGAGCTGGGTGTTGGGTTGGGTCAGGACTGGTGGATTTAAAATACCAGTGACTTCAGTGAGTGGCTGTGTGATGGGAAGATGTAATAGTGTAATCCATTCTCCTTTTTCACCCACCCCCTGAAATAAGGGTTTCCCTCTTCTCTAGAAGTAAGATTATCTGAAAATTAATAAGAAATTGTGTTAATAGACTTTTAAAAAAAATCACTCATTCCCTTGTTTGAGCAGTATCACTGTCAGTGTTTCTATGTACTTCTTTCCTGAATTCATTTCAATGCACACATATTTTTAAACATAGCAGCCATTATCCACATAATTTTGTGTCCCATCCTTTCTACTGGCATTTTAAGTGTATTGCATATTGTTTAGGAGAGAGGCTCTTTCTAAACATCATTTTAGTGATGACAGGGTAGAATCCTCTGCTATTGTTGGACAGATAGTTATTTCCAGTTTTGGCCATGATAACTGTCTGTGTTTTTCATAATTAGAATTAATTCTTTAGGATAGATTTTGTTGGAATTACTGGATGGTCTAAAATATTTTTAAGACTATTACATTGTTCTTTTGAAGTTAAAAAAAAATCCTAAAACAAAACAATAAACCCTGGTGGTCTGAAGTGTGTTTTGTTCTATATAGCCACTTGGGGTTTGGGGTAAACTCTAATGATTGGCTTAGTGAGGGCAGCTCCTTGGTCTGTACCCTCAGGTGGCCTGATGGAGCGGCCCAGTGGCCTGTGGACGCTGAGGTTAGGTGCTAGCCATGGGGTGGGTTGTTGCTGGTGACTTGTGGTTTGGCCTGCATCCTTTTTCCTGGCACTGGCCCATCATGGTCCTCACTGCCATCCTGGGAGGTGGTGCTTGACCTGGCTGTATCTGGGGGCATGGCCTGCGTAGGCAGGAGCAGGGCCCCAGGGAGGGTGCTGAGGCATGGGTTCCCACTTCAGACTGTGGTCTGTCTGGGAAGGGATATGCTAGGAGCCCTTTGCTACCAGGGATGGCAGGGGAGATGGGTGGGCAGCATGCCACCTTCTGAATGGTTCTGTGGCAGTAAAGGGCAGAGGCCAAGCGACTGCCCTTCTTGGGCCATGAGTCACACACAGCAGATTAGTCCCTCTCAGGCTCGGGGCTATACCCACACTGGTGATGGGGCTGTAGCAGAGCCAGCTGAGGTCTGACTGAGAGTGGCTTCTCCCCATGAGGCTGTGCTGGTTCCTTTCCAAGGCTGGGGGCTGCCGGCTCCTCCCAGGGTAGCCAAAAATGTAGGGTCCTGGGGACTGACCTCCAGGGGTAGACTGGGTAGTGGGGAGAGGGACCAGAAGGCTTACCCACTAGCGAGTGGGGACCTTTGTTCTTCTGGCTGCCTCCTCTGGGACATGGGGACAGTGGCTGCCTGTTCTTTATAAGGCTTCTACCTGGTACCAGATGCAGGGATGCCACTTGTCCCACATGGGGCACTGGGCCCTTCCTGCCCCACCTAGGCTCAGGTAGTCATTGGGGTCTTCTTGTCTTCACTGAGTAAGGATGAGGGAGCTGGAAGAGTTTACCAGGTCTCTGCTTTTAGCTGATATTCCAGAGAATTCTTCTACGAATGAGAGCAGGATAGAAGGTTTGGGGATCCCAAGCTGTGCCTTGTCTCCTTGTGCTCCTAAGGGCCCAGTGCACCCTGAACACTGAGGCCTTTTTCTCTCAGTCCGTTTGCCTGAGCTGGCATGGCAATTGCCTGTCAGTGTTGAAAGAGCGCTGACTCCTGACTCTGCTGAGGCCAGGGAGGGAGGGACCTGGGGCAGCTCTGAGGGAGCTGTGGTAAGGACCAGCCAGTGCCCCTCTTACAGCTTTCAGGGCATGGCACACAGGTTCTGAGCAGAGGTCAGAGGTTCTGAGGTCTATGGGGTCAAATCCCATCTCCCCACTCCCTTGAAATGTGCTGGAACAAGTTACTGGGCCTCTTTGAACCTTGTTTGGTTAGAGCCAGGTGTAGTAAGGCCTGAGGGGGTGCTGTGGTAACCCTGAGGGCAGGGGTGGGCCTTCTTGGCTAGGGAACCACCCTTCTCTCCTCCCTAGAAGTCTCCACATTCCTGAGAGGTGACTGTGCTTGGACTGGAGGAGGGAGGGTCTGGTTTGTGCAGTTCTTCAGTGGTGACTGGGGCCAGGCTGGCTCAGAGCAGCCGCATTCCTGCCTGTGGCTGGGCCAAATGCTGGGCTGGGGCCTGTATCCTCCTCAAGGGTCTTGCTGATGGTGTGCTAGGGGTAGACAGATGCTTCCTTACTCCCAGGTGGCTTGGAGGTCCTGGCTCATCCCCAGCAGCACCTGAGCCCCCTTTGCCTACCCAGGCATGTTAAAAGTCTGTGGGCTTTTTGAGGTGGTAATGCGGGGCTTAGGTAGAAGGGTCTGATGTGTGGTTCCTTCTGAGACCAAAGGTCAGCCTTATGAGTCTGGAAAGACCCTGTGTCCTGTTGGGGCATGGTTGTGTCCCTTGGACACAGTGACCAGTGGTTGGGGTGGACATGGCCAGGGCTGGAACCTGTGATATGGACTTCTGGCCATATACATGATGGTCTGTCCCTACCCATGGCTTTGTGGCTCCCTAGGAGGTATCCCATACTATCTGGCTTGCAGGGGGGTTGGGACAGGCCTTGTTGCCCCTCCTGCCCTGTCTGTGGGTCCCTCCTGCCCCCAGCCTTTCTGCCCTGTGCTGCCCTTGGCCTCCACTAAGGCAGACTGCCCCTCATCCTGGCCTGGGCTGACAGGGCGTGACCTGGTCATCACTCTACCCTCTGCAACAGTGATTCCCTGCCAGGTGGGGAGGCAGGCCCTGGACTGTAAGTGGCTGGATGGAGGTGAGATTTCACCTATTTTTCTGATGTCATCAAAGAGCTGGGTCAGTGTAGTGAGGCTGGGTAGATTTCACCCTGCAGAGGTGGTCTGTATGTCCAGGATGGTCTGTTTAACCTCCCCTGGGCCTGCTTAAGAAAATGGGGCCATGTGACTGGGAAGTCCATGAGAATATCTGGCTGTAGTTCTGGCCTGCCCTGACTCCTGCCTGACCTGTGGTATGTGCCTGTGAGCAGTTCCTGGGGTGTGATCAGCTCACCTGTTTGCAGGTGTAAAGAGTGCTGCTGGCTTGGCATGCTTGGGAGCCTCAGTTTCCTCACTGTGTATGGGAGGGTACTCTCTGAACCCTGGACCCTGGAGTGGGCTGAGTGGCTATGAGAGCGTTTCTTGGGCCTGAAGCATCTCAGAAGCTGAAGGAGTTGCCTCCAGGATGGGCAATTTAGAGAGCCCCTTTATACCTTTCTCCAGATCCAGAAAACCCACTCAGAGGCCACAGACATGAAGGGGTGGGGCAGGGGGTGGGCTCTGTCCTCTGGAGCCCAAGTCAGCTAGAGGCTAACGTGCCCCTTCCTCTCATGTCCTTCCAGATCCCTCGTCCACGTACATCAGGCAGCTGGAGACCAAAGTGAAGCTGCTGGAGGGTGACAAGCTCCTCGCACAGGTAGGCCAGCTGTGGGCGCTGCCCAGACTAGCCCCAGCTTACCCAAGGCTCCCTTCCTGTAGGGCCCATGCCCTTACATCTGTACCCATTGCCACCCGAATCCCCTTCTGGAAAGCTGGGGTCACAGACCTAATCCAGCCTCTCATACCTCTGGGGCTTCCTTCTGGCCCACCCTTCCCCCTCGGTGGACCGCCCTCAGCAGTCCACGAGCAACTTAGGGGCTGGTGCTAGGCTTGTCCCAGGGATGGTAGATAATACATAGGAGATGAAGAAATGGACTACTTTGCCCCTCTAGCAGATAGGCAAATCCAGGCAGGAGAGGTGGGCAGACTCATGTGGAAACCTCCCCATCTCTGCCATGTCAGACTTGCTGGCTGGTTCCTCTCTGGGCAAGGGTCTCCTCCTCCTCCCTCCCAGGCCTGGCAGACAGATGAGGCTGCAACCCCTGTGCAGAGCTGGTCAGCAGGGGCATGGCAGGTTGCAGATGGAGTGTGAGGTGTGAGCTGCAGATGAGCAGTGGCTGTGCCTCATGAGTGTGGCTGGGGTATGCAGGGGAGCTGTGACTCCTGGGACAAGGGACTTCCCTGATGTGGGTGGGAGCTAGTATGAGGGCTAGTGAGGGGAGGATGGGCCTAACTGGCTTGGCTGAGGCCTCCAGCCTTCGACCCCACGTACCATCCATCCCTGGCTTAATCCCAGCCTACCCTTCCTGCTATCCTTGCTTGCCTGAGATGCCCGAAGCGTTTCTCTGGGAACCAACCCCAGGGATGGCTCAGCTGCCTTGCCCCGTTGCTAGGTGACCAACTGGGCTTGGTGCCGACTGCCCTGCTCAGGAGGGGTACCCTCTCTGTATACCAGGTGGCTGGTGGAAGGGTCACAGCCCTGAGCAGAGTACATCCCCTGCTGTGGTCATCCCCGCACCTTATTCCTGCATGGGCTGCAGGGACAGTTCCCACAGCCTAGTGGGACTTAGCAGGGCGCATGTCCTTCATTTGGCTTCTGTTTCACTCTCCTCCACTCCCATGACTGCCACATACACCCATGTGCACAGCCAGGCACTGCATGGCATGGCTGCTGGTGTAATGTTATACAGTAATGTGAGGTGCTGTGTGGCAGGAGGGCTTTGGCCCAACGATGCACTGGCTCTGCAGGGCTGGACAGGGCAGGATGGCTGTGGTCTCACCTGGCTTTGGGGTGGCCTCCCTAGATGCAGATCCTCCATGCAAGCCTGACAGGGTGGTTGTGGTTGCTTATAAGGGTATCAGGTGGGCTTTGGAAGCTGCAGGCAGAGGTGACCCCAGGAATATTGGTGGAGGTGCAGAGGCCTTTGCTTTGGAGCAGGCTCCCACCCAGTGAGTGGGGCCGGGGCGGGGCAGGGCTAGCTCCTGGGAGGTGGGTGGCTGCTCTGCAGAATAAAGCCAGGATTATGTTCTGGAGGCCAGACCTCGGGCCCTCCGGGTCACTGGCCTCCTTATCTATCCTGATGTTTCATTGTTCCCATGGAGGAGCAGGTTGAGAGCTCAAGCTCTGAATATGGGGTGCTATTTGCCATATACTTTCCACAGGAAGTCCCTTCCACAGTCTTACTGGAGACCACTGCCTGGTCTTCTTTTCACAAGAATAGGTGGTGTGTCCTTGACCCCTTGGCCCCTGCTGTCCTGGGTCTCATCATCCTATTGGGAAGACATGCCCCAGTTCTGTGACCCTGACCATCGACTGGTGGGAAACATGCCTGTGCTAGCTGTGGGGCAGGCAGCCCTTCCTCCCACTTTTCTTTCAGGGCACCCCTGTTCTCACCAAGAGATGCCCCTTCATGCACTGTAGCTGTGTCCTCTGGTCCTTGCCTGTCTGTGGGAGGAGGGGGTTGATGGGAGACTGAGCCTGGAATGTGGCTCTGCCCAGGCCCCTGCCTCTGCAGCACTGCTCTGCCCTGTCCCCTGGAGGCAGCAGCAGGATTCTGTCCACTCATCCTCACCCCCCCTACACCCTTGCCTAGGCCAGGCCGATCTGGTATGGGCACCAGACTCTCATCAGCTGGGCAGATGCTGGCTGTCACCTGGATCCAGCCCCAGGCTTGCTATCTTTGGGTGGTTAGACTAGGATTTAAGGACAGCACCCTGCTTTTGCGTATACATTGCTAGATATGACAAGGGTGTGTGGGGCTTAGACCACCCAGCGCAGAAGTGCTCAGCATGTTTTATTTCTTTAGTAGAAAGTTGCTTTCTTCCCATACCAAGTCTTGTGAAACTGAGCTGCTCTTATGGAAGCTAAGTGAGCACATGTGTATAGTTGTGTATTGTGGGGGGAGGACACCCAGGTCCCATCCCTAGTGTCTTCTTTAGTATGGACTCTGTAGCAAGTAGGGGTCTTGCTCAGGTCTCTCGGCAGGGGTGGTATCAGGGCTGTACTCAGCACCCCAGAAAGGAGTAGCTTTATGGTACCTTGTATGCCCTCCTGCCTCTGTTCCCACACTGCAACAGAGGGGCTGCTCCTGAACTTCACTGTTAGCAAAGGCACCAGGAACTAGTGGCATCCATAGAGCCAGAGAAGTCTTTGGGATTGTGGCCCTGTTACCAGAGGGCATGTAGGTGGAAGGAAGAGAGATGGAGAGATAGTGCGAGAGGAGCCCTCCCTGGCATGCTCAGGGTTTCCTGAGCCACCAGCTCTATGAGGATCCCCAAGCCACTCTCTCTCCCCAGGTCTGTGTTGGCTCATCTACAAAATGGGCACACATCTACAAGATGCATACACACACTCTAACTGTAATTGACCACCTACTGTGTGCATGACCCTGGGAATGTGGGGTAACCAGGCAGGGGCCTGCCTGCAAGGGGCTTGTGGTCCAGTTCTGCTCTTGTCCTAGCCATTAAGACTTGTGTGCACAGAAGGGCTGCCAGAGGATGCCAGAAGGTGGGATAGCTCGTGGTAGGGTTCGGCCCACAGTGAGAGTAGTAGTCACATTCTAGGAGGGCCCAGGGAAGATTGGGTTTTCTTAGTCTGCCTTCTGGCTGCTCACCTGCCCACAGCCCTCCCTGACTACCCTTAGGTGGCCTAGTACTTGCTCTGAGATCTCTTGGTCCCTAGGCTGCTATCATATCTGTTTCTCTAGAGTTTGGCACAACTGAATTGGGTGGATGTGCCTTGGGGAGCCCGTGCTGCTCCCCTATCAGTCCCCTATAGGCCAAGAGGGGACTTACTTCTTCTTGCTCTAAATAAGGAAGTTCTGCTTAACCAAGGGAGGGCTACTTGGTGAGGTAGTGAGGGTGCCATTTTTGGAGGTAATCAAGAGATGGCTGGATGGCTGGATGACTACATTTGGGAATCTTGAACAAAGAGATTGTGGCTATGAGTAGGAGGCTGTCCTCAGTCTCATGGGTTCTGGTGTGTGAGATTTTATGATCCTGGCATTTAAATCTTGTCAGCAAAATCAAATTGTACAGAAACCCCCAGCTCTGCACAAAGCAGGGAATCTTCTATTTGTGAAAAGCAGGAGAGAAGAATGTTATTCTTATGATAAGGAAAGGTGACAAGGGCTTAGGGAGGGAGGGCAGAGTGCTTCTCGGGATTCCCACGCTCTACTACTCCCCTCCTTACCATGGCCTCTATTTAACTCCAAAATAGCTTTAATTAAAAATGTGCCAGCATGTTCACAGACTGAACTACTGTATTGCAATTCGTATTTTCCTTCACATGTTGGCTTTAAAATTTCATCAACACAGCTGCTTCCTCCACGATGATTCATCTCAAGACTCCATACACGTTATTATTTTTCCTGTGGATTCTCTGTGCCCAGCCATACTGGGGTGGGGGCGGTTGTAATTGACGCTGGGGCCTCCAGTTCACTCCCCTGCTGGGCTGATAAATGACGCCTCCATTGTGTGCCAAGAAGCCAGCTTTACAAAAGAGCAAAGACGCCCTGGTAGTGTTCTCTCTCTCTTTTTCTCTCTCTGGAGGCCCCAGCCTACCCCTTCCTCCTCACCCCTGTACACCTCTCCTCTGTCCTGTCATGTCCTGCAGAGCTGCTGAGAGTGGCCCAGGGTTTATACTGGAGACAGATGAGGAAACTGAGACCCAAATAGAAGAGAGTTTCTTGATGTAGATGTGTTAGTCTGCTAGGGCTGTCATACCAGAGTTCTACAACCTGGGGGCAGGGGCCGGGGCTTAAACAATAGAGACTTATTGCCCACAGTACTGGAGGTTAGAAATCTATGATTGGCTTGGCGCCTATAGCTCAATCGGCTAAGGCGCCAGCCACGTACACCTAAGGTGGCGGGTTTGAATCCAACCCAGCCCACCAAACAACAATGACACTATCTTTTAATAAATATGTCCATCAAAAAAAAAAAAGGCTCGGCGCCTGTGGCTCAAGTGGCTAAGGCACCAGCCACATACACCTAAGGGGGG